ATCACATGAGCAGAGCTATATAGGTTGGGAGGCAAGGCCTTAGTCTCCCTTTTCGAGCACGAAGACTCCTTGGAGTCACCCTCCTGATGATGCCCGGGCGGACGGGCGAAACCAGTCGGGGGACCGCAGGTTTGCTCTTTTGCAGTGTGCAAGCAAGTGTGGCTATCGTTTTTGAACATTCGTGTTTGTGAGAACGAAGGTGTCTACTTGTATTGGCTGCACGAGCTGTGTGGCCGCAGCTCTCCTACTCTTGGGCACGTAGTAACCGCCAGTTAGATCACGCTGCGTGGTGGCTGCGTCGACATGCGTTCGTTTTTCGACTAGCAGGGGGTGTAGAGTTCGGCGGAAGTGAGGAGGATAAGTACGAGTGGTGAATGACAGGTGAAGGTTACGCCATCAAGATGGGCGTTGCCTCCAACCACAATTGCTTGGCGAGGTCACTGGGGTAGGAGGGACAGGGAATACAGCAACGGTACAAGCGGTGCAGACGGAGACAGCGGAACTCGGAGTACTATCGAAACGGGCGGGATCTGGGCGATCCGTGTACGGGCGGGCAGTGTGATTGGCGAAGCCGTTGACGAAAGCGGCCATGACGGGCTACGGTGGAGATTAGCGGGCGTTCGATATGGGGCAGTTTCGATCACACACCGCGGAATGGGCAGGAATGAGATTACATGAGCGGGCGAATACAGGGGGACTCGGTGTGGAGGTAGTCGACGAGTTGTTATACCGGATTAGGATCGAGAGCTAGAGCTCGTATCTTGTGGTGATCAGTAAGTAACACTGTTGGGGACACGTGAATCCCGGAGTTGAGGGAAAGAGGTGGGGAGAGATCTAAGATTGGGAGAAGGCGAAGACGATTGGTGGAAGTAAGGGGATGAGGGGAAGAGGGACTAGAGATATTTGGTACGGGATAGGTATAATACTATGTGGGTTGGGGATTATTCTGATTGGATCCGCTTTCTGACGTGATGAATACACCGTGCACTAGATGTGGGGGATCGTGCGGTAGGGGACGACGATTTATGACAGTACGATCTAGACTTATACATGCACTTGAAGACTACGTAGAAGAGACTGTACAAACGATGCATTTCATGATAGGATTCGTGAATGACGAGAATCTGAGGAACGGATTGTATGATTGCTTAATGAGTCTGCTGATTAAAATCGAGACAACGCTGTTAGAGCTGTGGACGAGGCGTAGGATTCAATATCGTGAGATAATCGATATTTGGAGGGAATAGATTCTCGCCACTCACCCGTTAACGGGAAATGGTACGAGTAGAGCTGACGGGCTAAAGGCGTAAGCTGGGTACGGAAGAAGGGTGTACGCCTACTGGAGACGAGTAGAGAGAGGGGCGCGTGTAGGAAGGAGTATACGCGACACTCCAAATAACCGGTGAAGATGTATCTGACGATGGGACCAGCGGGGGGTGGAGGACAAGGCATCGCGAATGGTCAGCAACTAAGTAGTGGACAGGCCTATGGAGGTACAACCGGTTACACGGGAGGAGGAGGGAGAATGGGAGGAGGTAATAACGCTTGCTATAACTGCGGTAAGGTCGGTCACATAGCGCGCGACTGCTGGTCGAGGCAAGGGCGGAGCATGGGAGGACCACAAGGAGACCCTGAGCTTGAGGAGATCAAGGAACAGTTTAGGCTGGCTCGAAAAGAGAGACTGGAACAGGAGAAGAAGAGGAAAAAGGAAGAAGAGAAGAGAATTAGGGAGGAGGAGACCAGGAGAAACCTGGACTTCGCAAGAAAAGTTGAGGAGTTTAAGCTGCAGCTGCGCGCAGAACTACTGGAGGAATGGAGGAAGAACTATGCAGAAGCGGAGAAAGTTACGGGGAAGATCGGGAAATCGGCGAAGAAGGCAAAAAAGAAAAAGGAGAGAGACCAAACAGAGTACGGCAGACTGAAGAGGAGAAGGGCACGAAGGAATAGGAAGCGCGGAGATTCCTGTGAGGATTCGGGATCATCATGCTCGACTGATGACGACATGTCAGATGATACATCATTGGAATCCGGATCGGGTGGGAAGCACGCACGCACCAAGACGTACGTTAGACGAGGGACCGGGAACATAAAGACCAAGGCTAGAACTAAGAGCAACATGGGAAAGGGAAGGGCTGAGGAGGTGCACACACCAGTAAGGATTTATGAGAGGGGTGAGAGTTCGAAGGCACGGAAAGAGCCACAGGCGGAGGAAGAGGAGTGTCTGGGGACGAGAGCTGCCGATGGGGCCGAGCCTAGGACACCCTTGACAGGGGGTTATAAGGGACTGGCGGCAGGATGTTCTCAGAAGGGCTTGATAGAGTACTGTATATTGGCCCACAAGATCTTCTCTGCGAAGAAGGCGGACACACTTAGGAAGATCTGCGAGCAGAAGGGGATCAAGTATACCAAGAAACCGGAGATTGTGGAGATTCTAGCAAGACATCAGGTGCAGCTTGCTTACAACGGCTTCGATGAGACGCACGTCAATGCGAACGGCACTATGAAGACGAAGGCATCAGGGTCACCTAGGAAAGATTTCGTGAAGGACAGGACAACGATGGAGAAACCAGCTAAGAGGCAGGAACCTACTATTATTCGATCGGCTCCAGTGCAGCCGACTGAGGACTCGAACTGAAGGTTAAGAACACCATCTAACACAGAACTATGGGAGGTGCTTAATAGATGCATGGACCGAAGGACAAAGCTGAGGGAACAGGGGATTACTGGCGAGGTAGGTAGAAGGGTAGAGAGCGCTATTACTTCACCAATTCTCCTTCTGACAATACAGGGACAGATACCGTGGCTAGATAAGTACATTACTAAATCATTAGGCTTGACTGACCTGTTGAGATTAGAGACGAGAGGAGTGTATCTAGTAGCTAGCCCGTGGACAAAAAAGGTATATGTCGGATGCACGGTTAGACCAATCATTCAGAGATGGAGAGAGCATTGCCGCAGTACGCTAAGCGACTCCTTGGGACTCGCTCCACACCTGTATCGTTGGCGAAGGAGGTATGGGCTGGATAAGTACGCTATCATACCTATTAGACACGTGAATGAGAAGGATGATTTCGAGTTCGAGCGGTATTTAATTGCGGACTTTAACCCGTGCTTGAATACAAGGGATATTGGCAAGAAGGAGAGAACTACAAAGGGAAGAAGAAGGAAGGGGAGGCGGGAAAGGAAAGGGAAAAGGAAGGAGATGCTAATAGACAAGGTGGTGAGTTTTAAGTTCAAAGAATTGGAAGTAACATCGTTACTCACCTAGCTAAAAGCACAGACGGAGGAAGGGGTAGGGGAGGGGGTAGACCTACACTGCTCAGGTGGGAATGTGTGGATTGACGGTTGGCGGAAGCTAAGGAGAACGTATGGGGATACCGTGCTACAGTTAGCTGGGGACAGGACGATACTGCTAGAAGCTAAATCGAGACTGCAGTCAGGGGGAATAGTCAGAGTCGTAAAGATCGTACGATCAAGGACGACTACGGAACGCAATAGAGCATTATTGGAGTCGATCTTGCGCCATCCTAGACCCGACTCACAATTGATAACGTTGTCAATAAGGAAACTTATTGGACTATATAGGACGGCGGGTTTGTTTGCGGATAAGCAGACAAAGCACAGGCTGCGAACGAAGATTGATAGGGTGATAGCCAGAAAGTCGGGGATCAGTGTACGAAAAAAGATATGCGTGAAAATACTATTTGATACTAGAGTACTGAAGAAAGGAATACGCACGGTTACAGAAAGGACGATTGTCGGGGCTATAGACGACAAGGGGTTGGCGGATTTTGTGAAGTCAAGAGTGAGAATAGTTTGGGTGCAGAACCGGAATGTGGGGGAGCTACTACATAACCACAGACGCTTCGCATCGGTCGAAGACCGGACATGCATATGCAAATACATGGATTTACCAAAGCACGAGGCACATGTACTCACAAGGTTCGCGGACTTGGATATTCCGGGTTTTGTAAAAAAATGCGAAAATGGTCAGATAGGAGGGAAGAGTCGACAACTTGGACCGACACTGAGGTACTGGAGTGGGGCAACCGTTTTAAAGGGTTAGTGCTGACACCAATAGATAGGAATGCAGGGGATACCGCAGTCATGTGCCCGATCCTCTATCAGCATGGATTTGGGAAGACCTTCGCTTGGGAGGCGAACTACGAGGTCATCGGTGGTTTTGAGGTTGAAGACGACACCATCAAGGAAATCAGGAAGGATTTCCATCAGCACCGTTTGGAGACGATCGGTAAATGGAGGGTTGACGATAGACTGGGAGCAGCCTACGTCATCCTGAAGCATAAGAACCTCACGCACTGGAGGCCTATTGCACCAGCACCGGCGGACCCAGCTGCACTTGCGCAACGAAGAGTAGCGAGAGCACTGCGCTGTCTGCTTAAGCGACTCTCAGACAATAGTACGTTCTATCTAAACTCTATTTCCAATCTAGCAGGACAGTTGAAGGCTACAACGGTGAGAATGAGATCTGCAGGATGCGAGCACGTAGTAGGGAGATGCTACGACGTTAAGGACATGTTTTCCAGGATACCTCACGCTGCCGTTAAGGACGCGGTTCGACAACTGCTGAGGAAGTACGAAGACGAAGGGGTTAAACAGGTTAGGGTCTCCATGAGGGGAAAGATCTGTGCAATTAGCTTGAATAGGAGGAAAATGGATGGGTACGTGAGTATCCCACTGAGGAGATTGATGGCAGCGATAGAATATGATCTAAGACATGCGGTGGTCAAATGCGGACAAACACTTGTGAGACAAGTGTCCGACATTCCAATGGGAAAGTCGACAAGTCCGATACTAGCGTCCATTACATGTGCGATGGCGGAGATGCGTTTTTTGAGAGAACTGGGATATGACAGGAGACTGGTAGGAGGATGGCGGATCGTGGATGACATCACCATTGTGGTAGGTCTCACGGCACAGGCAGTAAGCAAAGGATACCAGGGGCAGATTTTTTAGAAGTTCGAATCTATTTATGATAAACATCTTGAGATCGTACGTAAGGACGACTGTGGATTAGCATGGGATTTTGTTGGCGGCCAGATGTCCGTGGTTAGTAGACCTCTGAGTTTGCACTTCACGCCAATGACCAAGAATACGGGGGCACTAAATAATGAGGGTAGACTGATTTTTCAAACCATGCAAGACTATAACTCGTATTCAGCCAAGGCAGTGAAGAAGGTTGTGTTGACTACTACATTGAAAAGATTATGGGAACACACGTCGAGTAAGCAGTTGGTACTAGGAGCTGTTGGCTTCGCGGTATGTGAAGCGGACCTCCGGGGCTACCCCCCGGAGGTCTCTCTCAATGCTTTGGCCAATTTGACCAAAGTTGTGCCGACACGGGCACTTTACTCGCTATTTGCAGCCATGAAACACTCGGCAGATTGGGTTAAAGCAAGAAAGAGAGGGAGGTCTGAGGTGGACCCTTGGTAACTGCACGGAGGGTACGCAGAGCAACGGAATGGACGGAGAGGCCAAAGGCCCAGGGGAAAAAAGGGGTGGGTAGCTGTTAGGTAACCGTCAGGTTCGGCTGGTTTGACTGTTTTTGGTATTTTATTTATTTTATTTTATTTTATTCCCTGGTTTTTAGACAATTTTGAAAAGCAGATATTGGTCTTCCAGGTGACAGAAATAACACCTGAAATTTTGGGTAGCGGTATGATAGCACCATAGGACGAGATGGTATGTACCTGGACTTTTTGGGAGATGGATTCGGAGTACGATTTAAGTGGGCGTTGACGACAGTTAATTACCGCACGTCTTGACCGGCGGACTGATAGCAGCACATTTTTAGATCTTGGTGCTGACGAGGAACACTGACTCGGGAGGCGTACCGGGTAGAGATCACATGAGCAGAGCTATATAGGTTGGGAGGCAAGGCCTTAGTCTCCCTTTTCGAGCACGAAGACTCCTTGGAGTCACCCTCCTGATGATGCCC